GTAAACCTTCTGTTTACTTTTAAAAAGCTTGATCTTTAATCCTGTCAAATAATATCTCACATGTTGATTTCTTATCATTTTGTCTCCTTTCAGGAACAAATTCAGCATTTTCTTTGTCTCGTCTCAGAAACAGCTTCATTGGTTTAACACATTTGTTTTATAAATCTAAAATAAAAATGCTTTCCAAGTAACTCTTCTGATTTATTATTTGTATGCCCCCTTTAATTATTATGACATCAGCTGGTTTCATTTGTAAATCCATTTTGGCATCTTTTTCCGTATCATTCTTATACTCTGGCATTTTTAAATTCATTTTCAAATCCACAGCATATTTTTCCATATCACTGTTATAATCCAGCATTTTTTAAAACTCTAAGTCCATATTCAGATCAGTCTCAATCTCTGTTTTGTCCAATAAAATCTGTTGTTCTTCTGTGTCCTCTGTTATAGTATCAAATGATCTTGTAAGTAATTTCTGAGTACATTGTTCCCAAAGAGCCTTAATTTCTTTTATAGTCGAATAATATTGCTCCATTGTATTAATGTGTCTCTTCTCCTTTAATTGTAATTGTTTGTTCTGCCTGGTTCCCTCTGGACAACCTTCAACTCCCCTCATATCATCTGTTTATCTTCCAGTCAACAAAACTTTCCCACGGATTTCTTACAATTAATTTCAAAATCTTCATATATTCTTTCATAAATCTTTAAACACCCATAGGAAATATTCATTCAACTCACTCTATCCCCTTAACTTTCCAAAGTCCACATTCTAGTCTCCCTTTTGCTGTTTTCCAAAAAGTAAATATTTTCTTTTTAATCCTTACACTTACATGGAGCTCCTTTCATTCAGGGTAGAAGGAGATTCTCCTGGTGTAATAAAACTTGCCTTTTGGAAGGTTCAACTTCTAAGAAATCAGTAACAAGCAGCTTCCTAAAGTAATTAAGAGGGGAAGTAGGTGAACCCAGTGTCTCTTTGAAAGGCATCAAACCACAGCTTAGGCACACTGTTTTTCCCCCTGACTCCCAGAGCTTTCAGACCTGCTGGAAATCGCTATTTTACGATCTCAGGGAGATTCTGTATGGAGCAAACTTGTGGGTGATCCTTGTCTTCTCCTTGATCTGGAGAGGGGTTCTGAGGAGTGGATCCATTCACTGGCTTCTCTTTTTCCCATGGTTGTCAGCTCCACAAAAGTGGAGCTGTCTTCAGTCCGCCATTGCTGTCCCTGGAAGTCCTGGGCTTCCAACAGATGTGGTTTCCATCTGTTCAAGCAGGACACATGAATCTAGTAGGGCCCCAAATCACAAACCAACTCTTTAAGGGAATGCATGGCCCCATCAAGAGCAGCTGCTATGGCTGATGCAGCTGGACAACCCTGATGTTACAGATGTGCAGTAAATCTGTTTTGCTAGGATTTAATCTGAACATGTTTCTTCCTATCCAGTCTTGAATAGCTTCCAGACACTGTTTCAGGACATCCACAGCATCTACAGCATTGTCTGGAAAGGCAACCTATAAATCAGCATCATTAGCATGTTGGTAACACCTACCCCAAACCAACAAATGACCTCTCCCAGTGGTTTCATGTAGATGTTAAATAATATGGGAGAGAGACCTGACTTCTGTGACACTGACACTGGAGCAGCTAAGGGCTGGATCAGTTTTACACCATAGTTACCAGCTGGAATTACAGTGGTACCTCTACTTACGAACGCCCCTACTTACGAATTTTTCGAGATACGATCAGCTCCGGCCCCAAAAATTTACCTCTACTTGCGAACTCGCCTCGACTTACGAACCAGATCCGCAGCCATTTTCCACCCATTCCACGTGGTCCGCGGCCATTTTCCGCCCGTTCCACGTGGTCCGCGGCCATTTTCCGCCCGTTCCACGTGGTCCACGGCCATTTTCCCGCCCCTGACACGTGGTCCGCAGCCATTTTCCGCCCATTCCATGTGGTCCGCGGCCATTTTTCCGCCCCTGATACA